TCATATGTGAGTACATATGGGAAAATACCTAGAAAGGAGACTCAAAAGGACTAAGAGAAAATGAGTACTGATCTGCCAAAGGAGAGCGAGGGAAGTTAATGGACAGATAAGAACGCAAGGAGCTCATCAGGGGTGAACGTGCCCGACACTCGGAGACGACAGAAGGGGCCTGGGGCACGCTGATTCTTTGAAGCTCTTGGTAGATTTTTAAATGTAAGAGGTTACAAAAATTATCGTGTATGTTTAGCATTTGCCTTTCCTTAAATAACAACTTTATTATAATTCACACACCATAAAATTCACCATTTCAAAGTATACAATCCAGTGATTTTGAGTACATTCGCAGAGTTGTGCAATCATCACCGCTGTCAAACTTCAGAATATCTTCATCACCCCTAAAAACAGACCCCCACCCATTAGCAGTCACACCCCTCCCCATTCTTGCAAGCCCCAGCCCCTGGCGACCAATGATCTACGTTTCGTCTCTACAGGTTTGCCCGTTCCAGCCATTTAACATCAACAGAATCCTGTGATACGTAGCCCTTTGCGTCTCGCCATCTAGACAGCATGTAAAAACAAAAGAAAGCAAAATAATCAGAGAAACAAAGCCGTCCTCCCAAGAGGCAATGAGATTTAGTGCCTAAGCAATAGATTCTGGCATCAGACAAAACCCCAACCAAATCAATTCCCCTACCCTCTAGCTGTGTGATCTGGAGCAGACACCCAAAACATCCCCAGCAACCTACTCAGCGCCCAACCCTTATACAAGGACTCGAAAGGCGAAATGGGCATTGTCCTGGGCCCTACAGTTTTGCTAAAAAGAGAAAATGGAAAGTCTCGGACAGTCCCTAGGGAAGGTGTTTCCTTCTGTGACTACGAAGACGAGCGTGAGGAAAAACTCTGCTGCCTGTCCTCTACCCCCTTCTTCCCTTGAAGAATGTGCGAAGGCAGAAACCCTGGACACACGGCTGCCATGCTGTGACCATGAGGGAAAGGCCAACAGGCTCACAGAGATGCCAGCCCAAATTCTGATATCGTTGATCTACTGAACCGGCACCAGCAACTGCCTTCTCACAAACTGGTATGCACGAAAAACAAGCCTTTGTATGTCTAAGCTACCACTACTTGGGGTTTGGTTACATACAGCCACAAGTATGCCTGAGACAGGAAGTTATTTCATTTCTGTGCACTAGTTCACGGGTTGGTGGGTAGAGCTCCCTCATCTATGAACCAAGAATCCTTACGGTGGTTGAACATCGAGAGCAGTTTCCTTTTGGGCGTGTCTCTTTCCTTTGGGTGCAAACCCGTGGAGCTAGCGTCTGGTTCTCTTTTAGCGAAGGTAGGGGTGCATTAGCCCTCCTGTACTCATCAGAAACTCCTCCCTGGAATTTGGTTGTCGAAACAGGAAGTTACTGGAGTTCACTTCTTCCAGGGGAAGAGGGCTGACTCGTTAGACTCTTCCCCACACAGGGCTGTTCCCATAGTCACCCGTGCACACGTTCATTCATTCATTCCAAAAAATATTTAGGGAGGCACTAATATGTGAAAGAGTGGGGACATGGAATTAAAGAAAAGAGGCAGGGGCACCCGGGTGGCTCAGTCGGTTAAGCATCCAACTTGGGCTCAGGTCACGATCTCGCGGTCCGTGAGGTCGAGCCCCACGTCAGGCTCTGTGCTGACAGCTCGGAGCCCGGAACGTGCTTCGGAGCCTCTATCTCCCTCTATCTCTGCCCCTCCTCTGCTCGCTCTCTCTCTCTCTCTCTCTCTCTCTCTCTCTCTCTCAAAAAATCAACCTTAAAAAAATTAGTCAATCAAAGAATGAAAGACAAGAGGCAAATTCAAGTAACTTACATCCTAGAAGAGGGACTTAAGACGCAAACGGGTCAATGTCTTATATAGTATCAGGTGGTGATGGGGCTGCAAAGAAAAATAAAGCGGGATGAAAGGGACAGATCGTTACAAGAATGGGGGAAGGGTGGCTCCTATTTTAGAGGATGACCAGAGAAGGCTTCACTAACAAAACTGTGTTTGAGCAGAGAGGGTCTGGCAAGCGTGTGCCAGGCAGAAGTCAGAGCACATGCCAGGACCCTGAAGCAGGGGCACGCTTGGCATATTAAAGCGACAGTGAGGAGAAAGTCAGTGTGGCTGGAACAGAAGGATGGAAGGGAAAGATGGTGGATGAGAAGTCTGGAGAGGTGGCAGGAGCCGGACAAGTCAGATGAAGCCATGTACTAAAACAGGAGTAACTTTCAGGAGTGATGTGATCTGGCTTAGGTTTCAACAGAATCCCTCTAGACCACGAGGAGGAGGAAGGCAACCAAACCGGCGAGGAGGTGATGGCAATGTTTTAGGTGAGAAACGAGATACCTAGACCCAGGGTGTGAGTGAGGGGCTTGTGAGGAGTAGCCAGATTCCAAATATATTAACAAGGTAGAGTTAACCAGATTTACCAAAGGACAAGATGTGGAGTGTGGGGGAAATAGGACAGTCCAGGATAATTCCACCATATTGGGTCTGAGGAACTGGGCAAATGCAGGTCCTGTCGGAGGTGGAGAACCTAAAGGAGGCCATTAAGATGGCGGCCGTCGCGGTGGGGCCTGCTTTGTAGCACTCTGAGGCTGCCTCCTGCAAAGTCTGGTCCCTCAACCTTCCCACTGATTCAGACTTCCCAACAGTCTTCCAGTGACTCCCTTCGGCTTAAATTAACCACAGTTCATTTCTATCACTAGAAACCAAAGCCTCTTAAGCGGTAAAACAAGAGAAGTCAGCCCTCACGTGTCCCCACAGGACACTCAGTGTCATTCTTACCATGGGAAAATGTGTCCTGAGCAACAACCGACAAATTCACAAACGAACTTTCGGACGCCACCCCATTTCTCTGCTGCAGGCTGATTCTTCTTCTCATGGCATCTCTCCTCAGAGAGACAGTTTCTGCCAGTACAAGGTGGGGAAGTGTCAAATACTATTAAAACTTGATTGCTAATTCAAATGCTATTGTGCTTGATATGCTCGTCATGGAAAAGTGCACAATGTCGCTTAATAAAATTGATAGAACTCCCTTTGAAGATATTTTTGTCACCGAGGCACTCAATAAAACTTTTTTCCATCAGGCTGTTCTGCCTCTTCGATATTTTGTTAGTGACACATTTTCGTGAACTAGTCCAGGGCCTAGTTAGGCCTGTTTTGCAAAGAATGTTGGAGGGGGAAGAAGGAGTGTTCAGATTTTTCTTTTTATTTCTTGTAATTAGGAAGACCTCTACCAACTGCCTAATGATGCAGTTCATCTGGGTCACTGGGAAACCAAATCAAAGCTGTTTTTCTTCAGTCATGGGGGATCAAATAAATAACCCACGGAGGTTGCTGTAACTAACTCCAAAATAGCTAATTATAAATACCAAGTCCAAAAATTAATCTGCTCGAGGAAATGTTCCTTTTCTTCTTGCCCGGATTCAACCAGAGTTTTTAGCCTGCGTCCCAAGAGAATCGCAGATTCAGATTCAATACCAAGATGGTGGAGCTTGGCTCCCACCTTTGGACATGACCAGCGTGGACAGAAATAGGTAAGTGATTTCTTAGTGGCAATACTGACCAGCCTTGGAGGCATATTGACCTGAGTGCAAAACTGGGTGCGTTGGGGAAATTACATCATCCTGGAGCTCAGATCCCACATCGTTTCATTGGGGACAGTATACTATTACTACCATGAGAGGTAGTACCCTTTTGACCGTCAGTCCCAGAAAATCTAATTCAAACAGCCTTAAGAAAGAAAAAGAGATTAACTGACTCAGATATTTGAAAATGTTGAAGACTGAGCTGGCTTCTAACCCAGCCTGATTTGGGGGCTCAACAATCTCTTCAGGACCTGGGAGCTCTGTTTCTTGGCTCCGACCTTGCCTATGTTGGCTGCTCTCTCAGCATGACTGAGTCCTTATGATGGCAGGAGGGCGGCCAACTGTTCTTGCCTATTTTTCTAATGAAAGATACAACACCCCTCCCCAGCCATGTGAACAACGGCGAAAATTGTGCCATGTGCCCCTCCCTAAACCCATCCCTAAATCGGCGACGGGTGTTCACATGCCTATGATGGATCCGTGCGAGGTGTCACATTACTCAGATCACACAGATTTGGGGTTCTGCTCGTGAGGAAGAAAAGGGAGCAGGCATTGGATGAACCACTAGCCCTGTCTTCCATGTGCTCGTGACAAGGTAGGAAGGACCTCGACAGCTGGCACTGAGGTAGAAGGAGCAGGTCTGGATGCTGAAATTCTGAAAACGAAAGATACGGCCCTCTTTGTCCTTATGTCCTGAAGCTCGCTGATGGTTCAGGTATGGGTTTAAATCGGTTTGGTTTTAGTCCTAAACGCAAAGTGATTCAACAGGGGAAAAATAGAAAGGTAAGTGAAAGAGACCAGTAATCTTCTTAAGGCAACACTTGCCTTCTTTTCTTTTCTTTTTTTTCTAGTTTTTATTTTAATGGAGCTGAAGTGCCTCTGAAATAGCCCTTACTCCAGCAAAATCCAGGATTCAGGTTCACCAGATTTCAGATTTACTGCCTTCAGGTCCCCCCCAAAGGATAATTATTTGTAAACAGCTTTATTTTTCAGTCCTGATACCTACCTGCAACTCATGCGTCTGCCAGTAAATTAACGTGCCGAGAATGACTTCTCACTCAAGGTACAATGAAAACATGAGAAATGGGTTTTAATAAACCGGGTTGGGAAAGGGGATCTAAGGGAGAGCAGAGAGGCACTCGGTTCACATCGGAACGTCGAAAGGACACAGGGAACGCGTGAGGAATCTCAGTAATTACTCCATCACAGAAACCGTGTCTATTGATCGTCAGTGTTTAAGCGAAAGAGGAAAGACACTTGCTGCGTGATTAAATGTCATTTACATAAAGTATGAATTACACACACTAGGAACAGAAACCTCATTTCCTCATAGAAACATATTTCCGGTTTGTGTCTCACGGAAAACACTTCTTGTTCGTTTTTGAAAGTCACACAATAAAGAAAAACCGAACATCTCTCTCATAGTCTCGACCTACAGGGAAAAACTACTTCTCACGCCTCTATCTCGAGCTTGTTTTTACATCTATTTCCGCAAGCCGACACACATTTTTAAGACAAAAAGGGAATCGCGTGATAGTGTTAGGGGCAGGGAACACTTAGGGTCCCCTTGCCGTGTTTCCCTGTGGAGGAACCACTATCACAGTAACACTCGGGCTCCCACTCCCCACAGGGGAGGGAGTTCACTGATGCACGGGCGGAAGCTATGGGTCCACGTTGCTCAGATGAGTGAGGAACGTGCCAACAGGCTGCTTGCAATTTGCCCCCTTTCTTCTCTGCCCCAGAACCACGCAGTGTCCGACGCAGCGGTCTCTGAGAAGCGTAACTTTTCCCTGGGGGGGCGCTGGGTCCAGGGAGATGCGCTTCTAAGCTCCATCTTCCAAGGTTTCATCAGCAACAAAGCTGATGTTTTCGTCTCCATCTGTCTGACTTTCTGCCTATCCGATTATCTCCCCAGGTAAATTCCTAGATGTGAAACTGTTAGAGCACGGCACATGGATCCATAAAATTACTATATAGATATACTACATATATGATTACTAGATTTATAGTAATTTATATATATTTATTTATTTATATAATTTATACATAATTGTATATATAATTTTTATATATTATATATTTATTTATATAATTTATATATAGTAATTTTTATATATTATATATTTATATCATTTATATATAGTAATTTTTATATATTATATATTTATATAATTTATATATAGTAATTTTTATATATTATATATTTATACATATAGTTTGTATAGTAATTTATATATAACATATATTTCTTTATATAATTTATATACAATTTATATATAGTAATTTATATATTATTTATATAATTTATATTTTATATATAGTAATTTATATATATTATATTTATTTACATAATTTATATATAATATACATTTATATATAATTTTTATATATAGTGATTTTTATACACACACACGCACTTAATGCCAGATTTTATTCTAGAAAGTCTATGTCACGGAACCACAAACGTCCATGCCCTCACATCTTTATCAGCACGGAGCATTTCCTTTTCACCCTCTTCCATCACGCTGATTTTATTTGCAATTTTGTTATTACTGAAGCTACATCATTCTTCAGATGCTTAATATATTCTTTTACGAATTGTCTGAGAAATGAGACTGTATTATCACAGCCAGTGCTCTGATTGACGCGTGTCCCATGTCAGATGACATCATAAACACCCCACCCCGCCTCTCCTCCCACTTTTCCTCAAATGTACTCATCCTACAATCAGGACTTGGCCTTGCGACAGAAACTATCTCGCGCTATTCTGGGTAGAAAAAAGAATTTGATAAAGGAGACTTTGTGGTCAGAGAATCTTCACAAGGGACAGAGAACCAGACTCAGAGGCAGCTTGGCCAGAAAGAATGCCCATGGGAGCGCTGCAGAATGGTCCTGAGGGACCAACCGGGTCCCCCTCCTGACCCTGAAGCTTATACCACCTGCGTCGCTGTGTGCTCTCTGGACACTGTCCTTAAGCCCCTGCAGCTGGATGGAGGTCCCACTTTACTCACCAGAGTGGATTCCATGTGGGTTCCAAAGGTACCTTCGGATCTTCAGAAATGTTCACCTGTTCCATCCGAATCAGGCAACTGAGTCCCTCCTCATTCCCCAGTACACCTGTTATCCCATTTTCACATACCCTGATGCCTCTTTCTGGAACGCTCTCTCTCTTCTGCCTGTCAAAACCCTGCTGGTCCGGGCCATACCCCATTAAAAATTATGCTTAAGACACATCACAGAATTGGCAGTTTCGAACTGTCTTTGATAAGAAAAACCTCAACTTGCCTTCTGCTTCTTTCTTGCTAGATTTAGAAGGAGACACTTGGCCCATTCTTCTAAGAAGAATGACTTTCTCCAGGATGGAAGACAAACATCTTAAAACAGACATGATCTCTTTCTGGGGCTTAAAAAAAAAAAAAAAAAAAGTTTGCTTAGTGAACGAATAGAAACATCTTCCTTAACCTGAAACTCCTCCAACCATCCCCTTACTACTTTTCCTGTGCTGCAGTGATAGAGCCCCATGGAGAAAAATCGCCTAATGGTGTTGATTGATGTCTTGACAAGTATAGAAGGATGTGAACATGTTTTGATCGGTACCTTCAGCTTGTTTGACTTTGCCTTTGCTACGCTGGATGGTGCCTCCCGGAAATGGTGACCAGCCAGTCGTGTGTCCCAAGAAGGGAGCTTGGGGAAGGAGGGTGTAATTTTATAGTGTTAGCAACTAGAGCTCCTTTTAACAGGCAGTCGGGCCCCTCCCAGATAGCTCTCAAGGGTGGCAGGGAGGGGCTTTTACACCCGCTCTTATCAGTTGAGCCAAGCATACTAAAAACTCCCCAAGAGGGACCAAGTGGACCCTCCGTTACAAAATATGCATTGGAAAAAAAAATACCCAAAAGAAATATGTCACACTTATAGCACTGGTTGCCTTTGGGAGGTCAAATTAATGGGATTTTTTTTAAGTGGTCTGTGTTTTTAAGTTTTTCTCCTATATGTATGCATTTCTTTTTTTTTTTTTTTTTTAAGGTTTTGTGTTTAAGCAATGTCTACACCAAACTTGGGGCTTGAACTCACAACCTTGAGGTCAAGAGTCACGTGCTCTACTGACTGAGCCAGTCTGTATGCATTTCATTTTTAAATAATAGTTCACCCTCTTCTGTCCACCCCACCTACCCTTCGCTCCCTTCATCATCACTGGTGGAAGGTCTCCCATCTCTCAAGACCCATCAGGGACGCCACATCCTTCAGGAGCCTTTGCTTCTCTTCCAAGCCGGATGCTCGCGCGCGCTCTCTCTCTCTCTCTCTCTCTCTGTCTTCCCCTCCCCCCACAACACAAAATGGCTGGCTCCACTGTCCCTCACTTGTCTCACGTGGGATTAGATTTCATTAGTGTCTTGCTTTTCCTGCCCTGCTATTGCCATCCGTCCTTGTGGGCACAGACTCTATTTAACTTACTTTATTTCAAGCCATGACTGGTACAGTCGCTTACACAGATTAGGTACTCAACCCATGTTCACAGAGTTGAACCCTCCCTTTTTCTTTAATCAAGGGAAGTTTACCTTATCAGAAGAATGGTCTCAAATGCCACTTATCTCTAAGAAATTAAATCGGTGTGGAGTTGGCACATCCTCGAGGAACTGGAGGCCGACATTTTTCATGAAATCCACACCTGGAGGCCACATTCTCACGAGCTTCAGGGGATCCTCGCAGAAACATCTGTGACCCTTTTCCAGATCAGAGTTTTATTAGGCGATTCCTGGGGGTGAGAAGTGGGAGAATACCATTCTGACAGTAGAAATGCTGACAACAAAAAAATGCAAACTTCCCGCGTGAGCCGCAGACTCCCTAGAGACCCATTCTACAGGCCCACGCACACGGGCACCAAGGGTATGTAAGCAGAGATGTCTTCTGCAAGGTTGTCTGAAATGCTTTAAAAATTGCGTACAACCTCATTCTCTGGGTAAATAAGTGAAAAGACATCCATATAGACCATGGAATATTATCCAGTGGTTGCAAAGAATGAGCTAGACAGATCTAAAGGTGTTGAGAGAGAAAGATCGCCAAACGAACTGCAAACTAGAAAAGGCAATGTATCAGCACATAGGGTATGATTCCATTAGATGAAAGTAATAAAAACCAACAGTTTCTTTTTATTTTCTTATTTGTTTATTTTTTATTTGAGAAAGAGAGCATGAGCGAGGGAAGGGCAGAGGGAGAGAGAGAATCTTAAGCAGGCGCCACGTTCAGTGCAGAGCCCGACTCGGGGCTCGATCCCATGACCCTGGGGTCATGACTTCAGCAGAAACCAAGAGTCAGACGCTCGATGGACTGAGCCATCCAGATACCCCACTAGCAGTTTCTTTTTAAACTTCACACATACACAGGAAGTGTCTGAAGGATACACGTTTACATGTGAACAGGGATTACCTCTGGAGAAGGAAGAGGAATTTCTGGAAGGGATAAAGAGGGACTATAATGTTTACTACTATGCTGTAAGTAAAATGAAATGTTTATTGTTTGAATTTTTATCAAAGTGTATGTTCCTAAGCTATACGTGAAATTATAAGCTTTTTTAAAAAGCATCAGGGTCACATTAGAATTCACAAACGTGTTTAGATGAAGTCTTTTGTGGAACACCATGGAAATCAATTTATGAAACTTTAAATAACGAAATTTTGCATGTCTGCTGTATGTCGATATCTTATTAAACTGTAGCCTTAAACTGCAGCAGTTTAAGGAAGACGTAATGCAGTGAAATAAATCGAGAAACTCCTATTGATTGACTTATTTTTTCTTTTCTGAAAACAGAGGGGCAAGTCGTCATTTATTTTTAAGGGTGGCATACAGTCATTTCCAGAACACCAGCCTTTCATACAGTATGGTATGAGAAGCTCAAACCTAACAAGAAAGGTAAAGAATCTGGAAGAATGGAATCAGAGAAAAGTAGGCCGTGATTTTCATGGATCTAAGACAATACAATCTTAACGGACTGAAATCCTAAAAACGCAAATTAAAAGAATGTCCTGGAAATTGTTTCAGATAACAAAAACCACTCTGGAAAACCCAGCAGAATCCCCCACCTAGGCCACACTGCCTCCCTTTGTCTTTTCACGAAAGATCTAAGCAGAAGGTATTAATATTAACAATAAATTTCCTTTGTGCAGTAACATATATAGAGAAACAATAGTCAAAAGACCTATGGGATTACAATAATTTAAACTTATGTCTTTTGCTTCTATTGTACCATAATACCGTGGGGATTTTATATATATTGAAAGACTCAGAATCATGTTATACCTCTCAAAGTGGAATTTCACACATATAAGCTGAAAATAAAACAATGTCTGGGAGAAAATTTCATAACATGCTCAACAAGAATTGTATCAGAATTCATAGCCCTATAGTCATTTTTTTATTATTTTTGCAAAAAAGGAAGACAGTGTTAAATAGACAACTAAAGAGCGCCCTCTAGTGGGAGACAGTGTTTATACAAAATACTCAGTTTGACCTATTTCCAGAACATGCTGCATCTCAGAGTTGCTATGCATAAAATAGACCCTGCTTAGATGATATTGCTTCGAGTCACAGCATTCTTGGTTAAAGCCACTGCATTCTTTTATATTTCTTCTTTTCAACTATTAAGTTAAACGCAGTCGGTTAGTCTTGAAAATCGCTTTTCCTTCCCACAGCACATCAAGGCTTGAGACCACCATCACTTTTTCTTATCAAAACGCCCTTCTTTGTCTCGGAATCTTTGAATGCAAACACGACTTCAAATGAGGACGAGATGGGGACACCTCTGTCCCTTTTAAAAACTTCTTTGGCCTCAGCACCAAATCTGCTAACGCCTCCCTGTGGTCTGACGCAGACAGGGATAAACGCCGAGTTAAAATCCCTCTCAAGGCAGAACAGAAAGGAGCTGAGGAAACCTGCCACAGCCCGTTTCAGAAAAGTGGCCCGGACAGGCGACCTTTCTACAACCATTGATCATATTTCCTCCTGATTTGGCACACACCAGTCCAGGGAAAAGGGAAAGACTCTAACACCCCAACACACCGAGCAGTTTAAGAATCCAGAAAGGTCGACAAGAGGAATTTCATGAAAACAACAAGGTTCTCAAAGAAACACAGAAACAATGAACTTTGGAAGCGGAAGAGAGTTTAGGGGTCATCTTACGCAACGTCTCCCCTTCACTCTCACCACATTAACATCCCATCTGTCTTTTACTTAATGTTTGTCTTTGACGAGCTTGACTGTTGTTGAAAGGAAGCTCAAGATCACATGTAATGACACAAATAAATACAATTCAAAGAAAACAGTGTGATTACATTCTAGAAACGGGGGTTTGTGCTGAGGCTGAAGCCTGCTTAGTGTTGTCTGAAAAGGAAAGGTTGCAGGTGTTCAGGAGAAAGTAGCACCCAATGGAGCCATTCTTGTCCGTGTTTCCAGAAGGACGGGACAAGAGTCAGGAATCTGACTGTGATTCAGCGTCATTTGAAACTAGCATGGCACCAGAGTCACCTCCCATAGTGCTAAGTGGTCCAAAGTCACAGTTTAGGAAGCCTTCACTGACCCCCAGCTTCTCACATGATTGGAGAAAACAAAACTCAAGAAGGGTCAGCGTGTTGCCCGGGGCTATTGTAAACCTGGTTGGTGCCCGCCCTGGGCCCTCAGGTGTTTCCATCGCAGTGCCCTCCACTAGGGGTGCCAGGGTGGCTCAGTCAGTGGAGTGTCCGCCTTCGGCTCAGACCATGATCTAGAGAGATCTAGATCTAGAGAGATCTAGAGAGATCATGAGTTCAAGCCCTGCATCAGGCTCACTGCTCTCAGCACAGAGCCCGCTGTGGATCCTCTGTCCCCTCTCTCTCTCTCTCTCTCTCTGCCCCTCTCCTGCTCACACTTTCTCTCTTAAAAATAAAAATTAAGAGGCATCTGGGTGACTCAGTCAGTTAAGCATCTGACTCTTGATTTCAGCTCAAGTCATGATCTCATGGTTCCTGGGTTCCTGGGTCTTTGTTGACAGCTCCAGATTCATTCTCTCTCTCTCTCTCTCTCTCTCTCTCTCTCTCTCTCTCTCTGTCTCTCTCCCTCCCTCCCTTCACCTCTCTCTCTCTGCCCCTCTCTCTCTTGCACTCTCTGTCTCTCTCAAAAATAAACTTTAAAAAATAAATAAGTAAAAAATTGAAAAATAAAAAAATAAAAATACACTAAAAGATGGTGGCTTGAAGTCATCAGTATGCCAGCTGGATGGTGACCAATCATTTTGGTTTGCCAAGAACTGAGGGGGTTCCCAGGAGTTGGGACTTGCGGTGAAAAGCCTTGAGCCAAGTGGGACCAGTTGGCCCCCCGAGCCGGCTACCATCTTTCCTCTGTGGAGGGGGCCACAGAGTTCTGAGTACAGAGCCCCTGACCACCCACGTGCCACAAACAGGGGCAATCTATAAAACATCACTTCAATACTGAAGCAGCTGGGGTGTCCCCAAACTCTGCTACATACTCAAGGGACATAAAGGCTGATTCCACACTCCACTAGGGATACATTTACTTTACTGTGTATTCAGGGAACTTTAACACAGCAAATCTGTACTTTTATAGACATTCAAATCAAAGGGGATGCTAGGGCCTTTGGGTATTTTTACTAAAATACTTTACTAAAACACTTTACTTAAATGAGTTCATTTAGCAAAAATAATTAAAAAATAGTTCACAGGTTGCATATCCATGGCAAAGTCTTGTAGAAGTTTGGAGAAACCGAGCTATACAGACCATACTAGAAATCATATGTTTTTCTCATTTTTAGGTAAACTCCATGATTTAATTGGCTAGAGATCTAACCAACTGTCCTGCTCATTCCGCTGAACTTATTAAAGGTAAGAATTCCTATTAGTCGGGACAGCAGATAAATGGATCCAACAGTCTCTGTTAGGCGGCAGGGACTGGAAACACATTGTGGCTACTGTATTTAGAAGGCTCTTACTACATGGGGACAGAAATATTAACTTGCTGTGTGCTGCGGGGTGTGGGCCACTGAACAGGCAGAGAATTGCGCTTCATCCAACAGGTGAGGAAAGCAAACACGACCCCTGCCCTTGGGGGGGGGGGTGGCTTACAGTCAAGAGGGCAAGATAGACACTAATTGAATAATTAAACAAACAAATACGCAATTATCGTAAACAAGGTAAAAAATATATTTAGCACGTTATGTTCGAATGTGCAGGGGAAATGTACCCTTATTTTCTGCAATGGATTTGGGTCCTACTCTCCAACCCCTGAGTCAATCCGGCAGGCAGATGAGGAAGGCTTGCAGAAATAAAACTTAAAACTAGCTGGGGCGCCTGGGTGGCGCAGTCGGTTAAGCGTCCGACTTCAGCCGGGTCACGATCTCGCGGTCCGTGAGTTCGAGCCCCGCGTCGGGCTCTGGGCTGATGGCTCGGAGCCTGGAGCCTGTTTCCGATTCTGTGTCTCCCTCTCTCTCTGACCCTCCCCCGTTCATGCTCTGTCTCTCTCTGTCCCAAAAATAAATAAACGTTGAAAAAAAAATTAAAAAAAAAAACTTAAAACTAGCTAACTATGGCATTTCAGTCCTTTCTGACTTAAATCCAGCCACTCTTGGTTTAAAACAGTAGGTTTCCCTCTCTTCTGGCTAAATGTTGGGTTCTCCTGGGTGTTTCCCTGACCTGCTCTCGAAGATCAACTTCCTCTCTGCAAAGAGGTTTGGCTCTTTAAAAAAATTATTACCAAAACCGAGAGCATACTGTATACACTGTAGGTTAGCCAACTTGACAACAAATTATATTTAAAAAAATAAAAATAAAGGAATAAACATCAAACCCCTCAAAAAAATAAATAACAATAAAAAATAAAAAACTTAACAACCCAGGAAGGAATTCTGATTTAGTCCATCCGGGCTCCCCTCACAAATTACCATAGGCTGGGGGGCTTAAACCAGAAACATTTATCTCTCACCATTTTGGAGGACGTGAAATCCAAGGTCAAGATGCCGGGAGATCCGGTGTCTGGTAAGAACCCGCTTCCTGGCTTGCTACCTTCTCTGCGTGTCCTCACATGGCTAAGAGAGAGAAGAGAAGCAAGGTCTCTCCTGTCTTTTCTTAGAAGGGTGCTAATCCCATCCTGAGAGCTCCCAAAGCCACCATCATGACCTAATGACCTCCCAAAGCCACCATCTCCAAATAGCATCACATTGAGGATGAGGGTTTCAATACGTCAACTGTAGAAGGATACAAACCTTCAGTCCATAGCAGACCCTAATGATCATTTCCCATGGCCCTCCGTTTCTTGCTTCTGGGGACTGCCTTCCATCCTTCTCTGTTCACCATTTCTGTCCAGGCTCATGGTCCATGTCTGAATGTACGCCCTTCCACCAGAAGCTCAAAAATAAAGTCACAGCCAAACGTTTCAGGATCACTGATTGAAACTCTAGCACTGCCTTTTTTTTCCTCTAGAACTTAGTTTTCCAACACAATAGCCATGAGCCACATGTGACTATATCGATTTCATTGTACTTAACTGAATTCAAGTAAAATTACAAATTCACTTTCTGGGTCACACTAATTCACATTTCAAGCACCCCACAGCCCGCGTAGCTAGTGGGTACCATCTTGGACAGTGCAGACATAGGCCATGTACATCATCACAGATGGTTCCCCTGGACAGCCCAAGTCTGGAGCCCGCAGTAGGGAAAAAGTAAACAGACTCATCCATTAAGGTATCACAATCTCTTCTAGCTTGAAGATCATCTCCTCCCATTTGAAACAACCTTTTGAGTAGACTTCATTTTTCAAGACTTCTCCTTACTCCTCTTCCAGCAGATGGTATCTGGATCAAAGTCTCCCAGAGACTCACAAAAGTATTGAAGGGGAAGCTGGACACCCACAAACCCAGGCACTAGAGAAAATTGTCGCTCAGAAGTTTAAGCCGCTGGTCTAAAGTCACAGAGCCAGAAAGGGGAGGATTCGGGATTCAAATTCCGAGACCTCAGCTCCGTCCACCCCATCCCGTTGCCTCATATTCTTTACATGCAATAAATCTGATCGCTCAAGGTCCTGACTCAACAAAGTCTTGCAAAAAATCTTCAGGGGGAACAGCTGTGCCAAATCGCCCTTGGTCTCCCCCCCCTCCCCAGTAAGGAGGGGACGTGAGTACCCCCTGTGGCTCCAAAGGGGTCAGGGGAAGCAGGCACCCAGTATAGGAAAGGCCCAGCCACCTGATCATACATCCTGGTTAAACCCAGCGTGGGCTGTTGTTCTGAGGGTTCTTCTCCGTCTTACCAGCCATTCCATTACTAAGGAACTTTATTTCTATTAGACTTGCCCATACAGTTATCTAGAGAGCTTGAATTTCAATGTTGTGGCTACTCATTTCGAATTACGCTTACTGAGCACGTACTGCATGCCAAGCCCTACACTACATGCTTTCCGAGATCATCACCTTACATGGTCCTCACAACAGTCCTTTGGAGTAGGCATTACTGTCCCCGTTCATAGGTATTATTACCCCAATTCATAGATACTACTATCTCCCCATTCATGAAGCTCAACGTTCAGGCCATTGGCCGAGATGCAAACATGAGGCCGTTTGCTACTGAAGTCAAGCTTTTTGCCACTAAAGGAAATCGAAATTACCTTTGAAGATGTGCCTCCAAAGCAGAGGTAAAAGCTGTGAGAACAGATCACGGCTCTGTCATTTATTCGCTGTGAGATTTGGGCCATGAAGTCATTCAACCTCTCTGAACCCACGGTTCCCAATATATAAAAAGGGGTTGGGGATCCCCGCTCACCACTCCAACCTGGGCGACGAGAGACGCATGCCGTAGCATCTTATGATTCTCTGGTGGCAAAAGCAGAAAGTGTTCGGCCACTCTCGTTTGGCTAGCAAAGGCAGAAAGGAAATTCACCAGAAGGATATTCAGAAGCCTCCAGAATTTATGGGAAGGCTGCAAAATCAGACGTGAACAAAAATCAGGAACGGGGCAGGACCTAACGCAGCACACCTCTGAGGGACCGCTGTCCTTGGACCATCTCTGAGTCACGGCCACCGTGCAAAGTCCTGGGAGAGAGAGTCTGATTGGCGGGCCTTAGGTCACGTGCCCAGCGTTGGCTGCGCGGGAATAAGTAGTTCCGGGAAGGGACCTCCGTGGCCTCCGTAGTGGGAAGTGAGACTACTCTGACCGTGCTCAGGGAGGAAAGATCATCTAAAAAAAGAAAGCAGGATACAGTGAGAGCAGGGGGAAGGGGACAGCTGAGGGGTGAAAAAGGGAGACAAATGTGGGCTATGACATAAAAGGTCACGGGAATGTAAAATAGTGGTAATGTTCCCATTTTTCTCCCTTTTTAGCAAGAAGCCCTGCTCTACACATTTCACGTGAGCGTTTGCTTCCCTGAAGGCCTTTTTCGCACTGCGTTTCCAGCATTATCCATATATACATAAATATATGCTATATATATATGCTATATATATATATGCTATATATACATATATTTATGCTATATATATATGCTATATATATATATGCTATATATATATGCTATACACACACACACACACACACACACACACACACACTTCATTGCACACCTAGGCTTTAAGTTTATCCTAAATCCAAATTCTTCTTCCCCAAAGTATCAAGCAAAAAGGTAAATAAATAAGTGTATGCGGAGCGTGAGGAAATCCGTGGGCTTCGTGACTCAGATGAAATTACTGATGATAAAAACATGATCAGGCAACCATGGTTTTTTAAGGCAAAATTCGTTGATGGTGTGGCTAGGGTAAATGTGAGGCATGGCCATTCCGTTGGGAAAGAATCGTTCCTGTTCAGGTTCAAAATAGAATAAATCACAGTCTGAAGTTCCAAGAACATAAATTTTGCCATCATCATTCACAAAATATTACTGTTGAAGCCTAGGCCGTTATGAAAAAAGTAATAGGTAGTTCCTCAAGAGGAAAGACTTCAAACATCAATGTAAATAATAATGTCTTAAGGTTTAAAAAAAAAAATGTAACCAAGAACACAAGAGTTACATACATTATACTTGACTTTCTTTCTTTCTTTCTTTCTTTCTTTCTTTCTTTCTTTCTTTTTTTTTAATGCCATTCCAGGAAAAATGTCTTCTCTTGGGCACAGATCTAAAGGGTAAGAAATATCAGCAGATTTCATTTGTTTGTGCTGCTTTGGTTTTCCTACCGTAAAACAAGAAAACAGTATAGGACTAATTAAAATCGCTTCATGCCTCATTCTAATTATATGTGGAAAATGTGCCCCAAAGAAAAGTTTCAAAAAGAAGCAGATAATATAATTAATACAGAAGGCCTCTTGCTTCTGTGAAGTTGCTGACAAAGGACAGGGGTGGGGAGGAAGAGGGCGGGGAGAAGAGACAACATGAAAACAAAGAAAAAAGAACCCAAATTTGTAACGCTAACGTAACCATTTTACAACTCAAAAATTCAAATTGGGTTATGTTGGGAATAGTAAAACCAAACTGGAGTAAGTCACCTGTGAGAAAATGTTTTCAGGTTTGATCGATAATATGTGAAGAGTCCATTCCAACACCCGTTGAATTTGAAAATGATTCAGCATTGCGTGAGGCAAGCGGGTAAGATGGCCTTACCAGTTCAGATCACATGCTAGGTTACCATCAATACAAGTGCGTCCTACACGTGTCTGATTTCACCTAGAAAAGCATAGGTAACAAAGCTTTTAAGAAATACACATTCCTAGGGGCGCCTGGGTGGCTCAGTTGGTTAAGTGTCCGACTTCAGCCCAGGTCATGATCTCATGGTTTGTGAGTTCGAGCCCCGCATAGGGCTCTGTGCTGACAGCTCAGAGTCTGCAGCCTGCTTCGGATTCTGTGTGCCTCTCTCTCTGCCCCTCCCCTGCTCATGCCCTGTCTCTCTCTGTCTCAAAAATAATAAAAATATTTTTAAAAAAAAATACACATTTATATAAGCTCCATTTTCTTTTCTCATTATGTATTATCTCATGATCTTTTTTGAACTTGTTTTTAAATGTTTTTAATGTTTCTTTTTGAGAGAGAGAGACAGAGTCTGAGCGAGGGAGGGACAGAGCGAGAGGGAGACACAGAATCCAAAGCAGGCTCCAGTCTTTCCACACCATCAGCACAGAGCCCGACCTGGGGCTTGAACCCACCAACCGTGAGATCATGACCTGAGCTGAAGTCAGACAGTCAACCGACTGAACCCCCCAGGCATCCCAGGAGTAGCTCACGTCCCAATACAAGTTGACACAGAAACTCACCATTTCCCCCCAGTCTTACCCATCACCCAAATCCCAAAGGAAAGGAAAAGTCTCTCTAAATGAATTTTAGAACCTCCTCCCCCTTCTGTTAATTTAGAAACGAAGCATTAGGTGCCTAACAAGAGAAAAACACATTCTACCTCTTCCCCAGCTATTTGCAAATATTCTGTTCCTGGAGAAAGCCACACAGTACTTTTTTTTTTTTTTTTTTTTTTTTAAGTCACGACCCATAAACATCACCCAGGGTAAAAACCACTGCTTCATCCATAAAGGCTTTGACTTGAGGAAATGGCATAAGATTTGTAGAGTCAAATCTCCACCGAGAGTATTACTCTGGGTAAGATTTGGTGCGTATGAGTTAATAAATTTTTTGTCACGTTGGCCCTTAGGATTACGCTCCTGTCTGAATTTTGGCTTTGTTTTCTCTCCGTCCCTCCCTGGTGGAGCTGAACCCGAAATAGCATCACTCTTGAGCTAGTTAGTTTGATAAACTGTCCCAAGTGTGAGGCAACAATGGTACCTCTAGCACAGAAGCATTTATGGGTCTCTAGGGAATTCTGAAAAACACCAGGAAGTGTTTAGGTACTGAATCACAGCCAAGTGTTCTGAATCTTTAATTTTTTTTTTTTCTATGAGGATGTCAGCATGAAAATATAAAACATGCTTTTCCCACTTGGTTCCTATTACTTGTAAAGCATTTGAGCACTTCTAGGCTAGAATTACCTGCTTCCCAGTCAAGGAAGAAAAAAAAAAAAAAAAAAACTCCAAAAGGCACATTAACGGTTCCTTTGCTGGCCTTCTACATTTTTGACCCAACAATATAATAAAAATGACGAAATACCAAACCTGAGCATCAGGCTTCTAAATCCATCATGGTTTTTATCATATTTATCCATGCAGTGTTCCCATCTTTGGTGGTTCGGATAATGCATGTTGAAATAAATTTTGCAAGATAACTAGTTTGTTTTCAGATATGACACATCCATCATCCAAATAACCAGGCAATTATGACATCGCAAACCTTTGGAATAAATGATTTGTTTTAAAGGTGGTTTGGGTTACAGTTAAAAATTAAAGTTCACAGTGAAGGCAGGAAAAAAAAAAAAAACAAGACACAATTAATGTTTGTAAATAAGAATTTAAAACTGAAGCCGGGCTTCTTTTGCTTGGTTAATTTTCATTTTTAATTAAGCACATTTATTATTTATGCTGGAATACCTCAGTCAACACTGGGGGAAGAAGAGAGATTACAACTGTATTGTCTCAAATCTTAACTTTATCTGGCTTTGTTTACTGACTGCATTAGTATTTTTAAACAAATCACCCCAACAACTGGACATTGAGCTATTTATCCACATACAAACAAGCAAAAATATAGGTAAAAAGGTGTTGAATATACCAAACTACAGTATTAACAAATTGGAGACAATCGTCCATCAATAGGGAATAGCTAATCAATTTTGACTAGAGTCAGATAAGCAGGACAGAGAGTGCTTTGCAGACATTTTGAAAAATCGAACAGATCAGCATATACCCGTGTGGACATATCCATGTCCTAGTGGTAAACATAAAAAGCATTCTGCATTCAGAGAATACTAATGAGAATACTAAGATGTCCTCCAGGAATAAGAACTCATAGATACATTTGAATATTGTTTGCATTTTTACAACAAGAACATATCAGCCATCGTATTATTTTTAAATGATTATTTAAAGGGTCCAGAAGAATACCAAACAACGTGTTCATGGCTATTGCAGTGAGCAGGACAGGAGGGAAAGAACATTCACTCTTACCTGAGTTACTTAAACAAAAGACACTACCACTTTAAACAATACTCACTTCATCTAAACACTCGTTCAGTAATGCGTGAAAAAAATGTCATTTACATGAGATTCAGGGGGATCATACTAAAATAGGCGTGTGTACCAGGGACTAGGAAAGGGAAAAGACAAATATCTAGTGAAAGAAATGTAAGATAATAATGACAATAATACTACTATCTAACTTGGCAAAAAGGGTACTGAAAATATTTCAGCTGATGGCAGGAACAGAAGTTCACACAACCTTTCTAGAGAGCACTTCTGTATTGTATATCATGAGCTTTACAAACATCTGTGTTCTTTCGTCCAGTATTTCCACTTCCAAGAATTTCACCTAAGAAAAAGATGATGCTCACAGCACTACTTTAAAAAACGGGGGGAGGGGGGGTGTCTGGGTGACTCGGTTAGTTAAACGTCTGACTCTCAATTCTGGCTCAGGTCATGTTCCCAGGGTCCTGGGACTGAGCCCCAAGTTAGGCTCCACGCTAAGCATGAAGTGTGCTTAGGATTCTCTCTCCCTCTCCTCCCTCTCTCTCTCCGTCTCTCTCTCTCTCTCCCTCCCTTTGCCCCTCTCCCCCACTCACACTTCCTCTCTCTTTCTAAAATAAAAAATATATAAAAATAAAAAAGACTGGGTTCCAGGGATGTGAGTACATCCCTAAACAAAACACATAACTGCTTTGTATATTTTAAGTTCAAATTATACAAGTAATATATTTATGTATTGCTTATTGAAGGTTTTGTCTTTGAAAATAGTGTTTCTAAGATTAATAAGGTGACCTTGGGACTGTTATTAAATAAATAAATAAATAAATAAATAAATAACAGAGTGGGATACAACATAAACATCTCGTCAGAGAGGATTAGATAACCAATTGATTTTTAAACCTTTCTGGGTTACCTACAGTATGCTAAGCATTGTTCCAAGGGCTTAATGGACATTGGTTCACGTACTCTCCTTAACAACCCACGAGGTATGCACTATAACTTTCTACCTTTACGGTTGAGGAGGCAGAGACACGAGTCATTCCAATAACTTGTCCCCGATCCACAGCTGGTAAGAACTACAGCAGGGAACGGACCCAGGCAGTCAAGAAGACACAGCCTGCGATCTCAAACAGACACGCTAATCTGTATTCACCTGATGGAATGCCAGGTAGCCGTTAGAGATGATGGGATATCACTGACACGGAAAAATATTTGTGATTTCTTGTTACGTAAAAGTATATAATGCAACATAGCATGTCTAGTGTAGTGATGATTTGGTAGGACACATTCACATACCAACATAGGATTTTTCTGAAATTAACATGGATTCCTTTTGGGATCAGAACTAGACGCAAACAC